GCAATCAAGGCCAGCCCAAAGCCTTGGGACCCTGCACCCATGTGGAGGACCTGGAGGAGGCTCCTGGCTCCTGGATTTGGATCGGCGCAGCACTGGCTATTGCGGTCACTTGGGGAGTGAGTCATTGGATGGACAGAAGATCTTCCTTTTTGTCTCTTCTCCTCTCTGTATATGTGACTTTGTAATGAAAATAAAATCATTTTTTTAAAAGAAAGAAACACACAAGTATATGCTACTAAAATAAAATACAAATGCAAACTTGGATCTGTGTCTTCCAAACAGTCTTTGCTTGAATCTGTAGGATAGAATCGTTTTCTACTTGGCAAATGTCTGATATTTTCTTCTTCTTTTTTCTAAAGATTTGTTTATTTTTATTACAAAGTCAGATAAACAGAGAGGAGGAGAGACAGAGAAGAAGATCTTCTGTGTGATGATTTACTCCATAAGTGACTACAATGGCCAGTGCTGTGCTGATCCGAAACTAGGAGCCAAGAATTCCCTCTAGGTCTTCCACACAGTTGCAGGGTCCTAAGGCTTTGGGCCGTCCTCGACTACTTTCCCAGGCCACAGGCAGGGAGGTGGATGGGAAAAGGCACTGCCGGAGTTAGGAACCAGTGCTCATATGGGATCTTAATGCATTCAAAATGAGAATTTAGGCCGCTAGGCCACTGAACTGGGCCTATTTTCTTATTTAATTAATTCAGGCAGTCTTTGTTAAAGGAAAATGCCTCCTAAACAGTATTCTCTTCACATTCTGTATGTTCGAACATGCAAATTGCATTTATTTTTTACTGTGGTAAATTCAGCTAAAGATATGCAATAGTTAGCACGTTGTATGACCTATTTGGCATATTTGGAGAGCCCAGACAGTACATCTCCGAAAACATTGTCCAAAGATGAAAACTCTCCTCTGCATATATTTCTACTCCCTTTATCCCTGGTTCCATTCTCAACAACATGATTAGTGATGTGCAAGGATTGAAGTCAAACAGTTTGGATGTTACAGAATTTTCATACTTACAAACCTGCTTGTAGAATACTACCTAAAATTTAAAAATTAAATGACTTTCATATCCTGGATAATTTCCTTTTGCTGCTTTTATCACTTGTTAAACTTTTAAGAGCCATTATAATTCTCAAATTCTTGTCTGAACTTAAATAAAAATGACTGCAAAATGGGAGAGACTGGCTCTAGTTTACTGTAGTTTTGGTGTCTCATCACCAGCTTTAAAGAAAATGAATGGCATTTCAAAAAGTCGCTTCCTTTCCTTTCCTTTTTTTTCAATACTATTTCTGACTGCCTAGAAGAGTATGTGATACTTACTAAATACATGTGATTCAGCACATGTATGACTAATAAAAGTATATTTAAGTGAATTAATGCTTCATTTATTAGGACAACTATAATTATGACTATCAGTACTCTCACTGTGGTAAATGCACGCGTTTTAAACTATAACCACCTTCGGTTAATCTGTCAACTCCCCAAGTATCCTCCCACTTTACTTTTATTATTACTATATTTTGTGTGTGTCAGAATACTTAATGTAAGTTTTATGAACTCAAAAAATATTAAGTATCCAATACACTGGTATTAGGTGTGGAAATTATTCTACATACTGGTGCTTGTGAACTTATTTATCTTGCATAATTAAATTTTGTACACTTTGGTCATTGCTTTCCCATTTTCCCTACCCTTAAGCTCCAAATCCCTCAGTGCTGGGAATTTACCATGATAAATTTCTGTGTGTTTTTCTATTATAGATTCCATGTACAAATGATATCATGAAGTAGTTTTCTGAACCTGGCTTACTTGGAATAGTGAATATTCATCACTATTGTTGCAAGCACCAGTATTTTCTTCTCTTAAAATCAAATTATTTACAGTTTTTATTTCTCTCTCTCTCTCTCTCTCTCTCTCTCTCTCGCTCTCTTGGAAACACACACACACACACACAGAGCAAGTGGTGAAATTGCAGAATCACCTGATGAGTGTGTCTTTAACTTTTGAGGAAACTGTATGCTACTTATGGTTTTAGACACATAAACAAACATGGTTCAAGAAAGACATATAGATCAATGCTGGAACGTTACAATAGAAGAGACGCAGACCCCAATCAATCCTGGAAGAAAACGTGCTGAGGAAGGCCTTGCATGTGCTAAGAATAGCATCATGGAAAGTTTACACAAGCTTGGGAGACAACAAAGACATATGAAAAATGTCTCTGGGCTTTAGACATAGCCAAAAAGTCACTCTGATGTAGTTTGTCTGACAGTGAATCTTAAGAGGTTCATTTAAAAAAAAATTGCTCTTGTGATTGTATTGTGGAGTAACAGATAAAAGCACTGCCTGTGACACTGGCATGCCACATGGACATTAGATTAAATCCTGGTGATCTGCCTTCATTCAGATTCTTGCTACTCGCCTGAGGAAAGTGGTGGAATGTGTCCCAAGAACCTGAGATGGTGCCACACCTGTGGGAGACCCAGAAGCTTCTGACTCCTGACTTCACCTTGGCACCTGGAGAGTGAGTCCCTGGGTAGATAATATCTTTATTTGTTTCCTTAAATGAGTTTAAATTTCTTACAACTCTAAGGAAAGAATGTGCTCTCTTACAGGAAACAGTGAGCCAAGAAAAATGGACAAGCTTTAGTTGTGTCCTTCACTCAGCCTATCAGCATTAAATCATTCCCTTTCAGGAAAAAAAAACAAACAAACTCTGAAATATCCTTCCATCTACCTTTCTACATGCCTTGACCCTCCCCACCCAAGTCGGAGGATCACATGGGTGTGTATCCTTCTCCATTTTTAAAGTAATATTAAGATAAAATTTAAAAATAAGACAAAAACTAATTTTCTTTCTATGTAGCAACATTTTTTTTTTTTGGCTTCAATCGCACCTATGCAATTAAGCTGCCATAAACACCCAAGATTATTTGTAGAACTTCTAGATAAAAGTATGTTATATCCAGAGAAGGAATGAAAATTTGTCCTTTTTCTCAAATCAGCCACTTTTACCTATTCATCTTTATTCTTTCTGATGTCCTTTTAATAAACTGAAAAGATAATCACTTCCCTAGGTTCTGTGATTACCTAAATAAATGAAGCCCAAGCAAGGAGTAATGGGACATCAATTTACAGGCAGTTTGTCAGAAGCGCAGGCAGAACTTGCAGGTTGCAACTGTATCTAAAATCAGAGGATTGCGTATTCAATCCATGAGACCTGATGCTATCTCCAGGGCAGAAAGTGCTAGAACAGAATTGAAATAAAGAACAGATTTCTAGTGTTTTCTGCTGCACGATAGCCTGTTTGCTGGTGGGGAAGGGTCCATAATTTTTGTGCTGATTGTAATTTGCAAACAGAGTGCAATCTGTATATCTACTACAGAATCATATAGCTTTATGTTCTTTACTGATATTTCAGCCATCAGTAAACTACTTATATGATGCAAGTTCCTTAAAATTATATGACACAGTGACACTCTAGCCACCTTAATTTGTGTAAGGAGAGCCCATTGTGTTCACACAAGGAAGGAATCAGTGATGGATGCATTTTTTCAGAAATTTCTCAACCATTAAGCAGTCTCTGAATGTATGTTCACTCTCATGGTTTCATCTTCTGTAATTGTCAGCTTAATCTGTTTTCCATTACAAGCAATGTTGCATTAAACAGAGCGCTTAAGAGAAGAGGTTAGGGTTGTGTTTCTCAGTCAGTACAAATAAATATCAAAAACAAGAAGTTATTTATATGCTTTTAACAAAATATAAGTTTTATTCAGCCACATAAGCCTGATATGTAACACTTCTTGTGCGACTTTTACCTCCAGCATTTATTTTAATTAAAATGTTAAATTTTAGAAAATTATATATGTACATGTATTGTTTAGGAATAAAAGAGATCTCATATTCTATCTCCCTAAAAATGGTGACACCTTGCAAAATTGTAGTCAAAACCAGTACAATAATTTCTATGTAGTCCCAATACTGAATATTTCCATAATCATAATAATTAAAAAACCTCCCTATATTGTTGCACACTCACCATCCAGACACCAAAATGGCAACTTCTGCTTTTGCTCTGTCCCTGGCATTTGAAAGTTTAATTTGTTCTCTGTTTTTATAACTTTGTTATTTCAAGAATGGTTTATGAATGGAATGACACAATAAACTTTGTAGAATGTCTTTTTCCAATTAGCACAATTCCCTGGATATTCATTCAAATGAGTTTGTCTGTGTTCCTAACACAATGCTTTATCTTTATGGTATTATGCACTTTACCACACCAGCAACAGTTTAAACATTTGGTTTTAGATATTGATTCAGTTTGGGGCTGTGACAAAAAATTTTCTGTGAAAAAAAAATGTGTGCAGGTTTGAGAATAGACCTACATTTTCATTTTTCTGCATTTCTTAGGAACATAATGATAGAATTTCTGGGTTGTGACAGGATTACTAAATGTCCGGGGGGGGGCGATTTAAAGGGCTGCAAAATTGTTTTCTAGAGTAGTTATAGAACTTTATATTAATTATAACATATTCATGATACTCAGTTTCTAGTTCCTTCCTTCTTAGCAATTGATGCTGTCACTCTATTTTTAAATGCATCTAATTAGTTCACAGTAATAGTCCATTGTGGTTTCAACTTACATTGCTTAGGTGAGTAATATTTTTAAACATATTTCTGTTTTTGTTATGACCAGTATATACATAATTTGCATATATGTACTATATACAACTTGATGAGTATACAATCACAAGTTTATAAGCATCAGCAAGTTCGTAAAGATATCATTATTGCCAAAGATTGCCAAAGATTTTCCATTATTATTGTTACAGCAACAAAGGAAAAAAATGCTGGATTTATGCATCTGTTGCCACGAAGAGGCACTGAAAATGAAAGAGATAAAGTGAAAGGCCCTACATGAAACCAAACTGTGCACATCCTCTGACACATTAACCCTGAGTAACACTGCCAAGTCTGCACTTAGAAACCAGAATAGCAGGGGACAGCACAAACTCATCTACCCACTACCACGAATCATGTAGCTGAATTTTCCACTGTTGGAAAGATTGCAGAGGTCAGCATATGTGCAGGGCAAAGGATAAGCCTTGCCCTGGGAATAACTTCTCTATAATCATGGCATCTCCCATTCCAGGTAAATAGTATGATAATATGTTTAAAGTTATTTGCACATCATTACTCCTTTTTGAATATGTGATTTGAAAATATTTTTTTCTAGCTCTACGAAGTTCATTCTAACAACATCTCTTTTGAATCAAAAATTTTAAATTTTTAAGAGTTCAATTTTATTAGGCTCTCAGTTCCTGGATTGTGTTTTTGATGCCAAATATAAAAACACTTTGCCTAGAATTTAATGTTAACCATAAATCCTTCCAAAAACATATGTATTTAATTTTATGTATTAGAAGAAAGTAATTACCTCTGGGAAGTCATGAATGCAAATATTCATGTTCTTAGATATAAACAAAACTACATTTTTTACATGAAAGATATTCTTAAATTATGTAATAACTATATGTTTTTAGCATTTTTATGAATATGTATGCATGTATTAGTTGTATGCTGCTCACAATTATTCTAGAACTAGTTTTTTGTCCAACTTCAGGCAAGCCTCCTAAATAATCCTATATTTTTCAGTGTTTTTCCATATTTGTGTCTGTAGTTTTTTTAATAACCACATTTGCTCATCAGTTTCAGAATTTTAAAACTTAATACTTATTGTTTTCCTAACCAATATTTCTTTGTACATCTTTTTTTGAAACACACACACACACACACACACACACACACACACACACACACACACACCTATAAAGATGTGTGTGTATATATATATATACATACATACATATATATTTATTTGTTATAAATACATTAAGGCATAAACAGAAATAAAACAAAAACGTAAATGGACAATGGCTTATTGAAAAAAGAATGTCTGAGCGTTAGGAAATTCATATACTGTTGTGGAACTTTCGACTTCTCTATTTACATAACTGAAAAATGACATCATCAGAAGATCATGTTGAATTAGGGCTAGTTTGAATTGGCAAGATCTGTGACATTTTCTCTTCAACAGAATTTACGATTCAGCTCAGGCCTCATACATAAGTCTTGAATACCAACAGAGGAAAGTCTAACAAACACAAAGCAAGAAAAGGCTGAACTCTTCAAGGACACCTGCACTGTCACTGTTCTGTGACCCTTAGCTTATTCAATAAGCCCTACAAAAAGATTTTTCAGGGCCCAGCGCAGTGGCGCAGTGGTTAAGGCCCTTGCCTTGTACCCTGGGGATCCCATATGGGCGCTGGTTCTATCCCCGGCAGCTCCACTTCCCATCCAGCTCCCTGCCTGTGGCCCTGGAAAGCAGTCGAGGATGACCCAAAGCTTTGGGACCCTGCACTCGCGTGGGAGACCCGCAAGAGGCTCCTGGCTTCGGACCGGCATAGCATCGGCCGTTGTGCTCACTTGGGGAGTGAATCATGGGACGGAAGCTCTTCCTCTCTGTCTCTCCTCTCTGTATATCCGCCTTTCCAATAAAAAATAATAAAAATAAATCTTAAAAAAACTCTTAGAAAACTTATTAAAAAAAAAAGATTTTTCAGAGTCCAAACATTGCATTTTAATGGTTGTTGTGCTCATGATAAGTAAATATCAAGAATGATGAAAAGTAGCTTTTGGAATAGCAGATAAAGGCATTTGCTCCTAAAATTAATATATAATAGGTGAAATGATATGCCTTAAAGGCTAGAACTTTCAGATATTAGCTCTCCGTATATGCTAGCATATTGAACCCATTCACTTTTTTTTTAACTGCTGTTTGTTCAGCATCTCAATTTAAGCAACTCATTTATTTCTTTTTAAGATTATTTGTTTTACTTTTAACTTTTTTTTACAATTATATTTTAACACTTCACTATCTATCCATTACCTTAACTCCATCTAAAGGATTTGGGATCTGAATTAGAATGGAAAAAAGAAACAGACTTTTTCAATGACATGCCTAAAAAATCAATAGCATGGACTATCTTTCAAGAGCTGTTGTTTATAGAGGGAAGCCTTTTTTTTATCCAGTGTGTTTCATCAAGCTTCAATTCTCATGAGGACACACTGAGCCACATAGTTTTGCATTAGCCCATTATATCACCTTGGCTGACTTATGAAACAGAAAAGCAGTCATGATTTGAATTGCGATGTGTAGGCAGCTAAAACCATTTCATTAAAAGTAATTTTGATACCTTATTTTTTTTCAACAGAATGCAGCATTCAACATCTATATCATCATGCAGAAAATGATAGAACTGACCTGCTCAATTTCTTAAACACTTCCAGCATCCAAGACAATTAATTTGAGAAGTAGACACTTTTCCCACATCTACATCTGCCCACAATTCTTGTTGATGGCAAATTAAGTTGTGACTCATTTGTTAGAAAAATTAATATGGATATCAATTCAGCTTTTTAGACCAATGTGACACACCTGACTTTGAATTTTTTATGGAAACAATATACAAAGAATATATTAAGAAATATTTATTTTGCAGTATTTTTAAAAAGCATAAATAACATTTCGTTAGTCTCTCATATGTTATGACCCAGTACATCCAAGGCTTAATATTAAAGATAACATATTGAGGTCAGAATTAATACATACAAAGAAATTTTACAGGTTTGTAGTAAAAGTCCGTTGAATCTTTACCTACCTAGATAGGTTAGATATGATCCCAATTAAAATGGTATCATAATCTTGTAGGGCTCATTTACTTGTAAGTATCAGTTAACAGATTCATGATTTTTAGGTTAAAGTGCCAATGAATATGTGATATCTGAAAAAAGTTAGCCAATTTTTTTTTTTTTAACAATCTTTACATGGTTAATTTGTGCATAAAGGGTCAAGGGCTACAGGAATGTGGGTAAGACTGTTATTTCCATATTGTTTCCTTCATATATCTGAGGTAGAGGGGGATATTGAGGGAGAAGCCCCACCTGATTTCCCACCCACCCCAAGTCCCGCATGCTCCGAGATACTCGTTGAAGTGGTTTCAATAGGTCACCAGTTTTGAAATTGCTGCCAATCTTGCCTCTCCAAACACGATGAGGTTGTTGAAAAATCCATTAATTGGCATTGTCCATCATAGCGTCTCTATTTGCCCGGTATTTTGTTGCTGAGGTGGTTGATTAACTTGTTCCATCTTCTGTCCCTTCATGGTTTGTGTTCTGAGACTGGCATTTCAATTGGGCAGATCACCAAAGAAACTTCGTCTGAGGTGTTCCCAGGCCAGATACTTGTATGCACCAGCAAGCACAGTGCCCAGCACAGTCCATCGCCCAGTCAGCTGGTAGTTGCAAGTGCTAGGTTGCTTCTGTTTTCAGCCCCGCCTTCTACTGGAACCAATGGGTGTTGCAGTCCAGCCTGGTTCTGTACAGCGCATCTTGATATTGTAAATGATCTGACATGCTCCAATTTATTCAACAGATACTTCTAAAATTCATCTTCCTGGGAGATCATGTATAGTTAATATAATATATTCAAAATACAATTTTATTTGTTCTCATCATTGCTATATTTTTCTATTGTCTGTAATTCAGTGATAGAAGATGAATTTCCTTTGAAATTTAAGCTTAATATTAAATAAAAAGGAGTCACTTCATTGAGCCACAAATTTGAACAGATAGTGTAATAAGCTGTAATATATAAGAACATATCTAATATATAAAACATATAAGAACATAACAATATATAAGAACAATAGCGTATTACATTTCTTAAACAAACAATTTCTAAGACTACTTGTAACAAAATTGCCAGAAAATTTCTCACTGTGCAGTCAGAGTAGACCAAGGTGGGTTTACAGTGCAATAATTTATAATATAAAATGCCTTTATTATCATCTATGTTTTTGTTGAGAGAAACTAAATGAAACAGCTTCATAATAGCTTTTGTTTGTTGTTTGTTTGGTTAAAAGGAACATGAATAGATAAAGGCAGTGGTGCATGTGGTGATGGTGGTGGTAACGTGTCTGTAGTCATTAAACCAAAAGTACGACTACTAAGTGTGGTGAATGGTTTTTATTATCGCTTCCAGGTTATACATATAAAATATCTTTAGAAATTTTGCCTTAAAATGTAATAATTAGTGCAATATTATCAAGAGTAGTAATCCAATGAAAAGCTTACTATTGTGAAAAAGGATGATTTTGTGTTTAATCACACAGACTTTCCCAGTTAATTAAGTAAAAGCCAATATAGGAAACTTTATGATTAGGAGTAACATTTAAGGGTTACCTCAAGTGTTGGTCCACTAACATGCATCACATTACCTATGTATTCAACTCTTGGGAAGAGTTTTGACAATGATTTTTGTGTAAAACATCTAACATTTAATTCCTACAAGATTTTCAGACTAATTGAGGAATCACTCCACTCACACATCCAGGTTTTTCTTACAGATATACATAGGCTACACAGTTATAACCAAAGATCTTGCTTCTTTTCAGAAAATATCCGTCCTCCTATCCCACAAAATCAGTAATTCAAGATACACTCATCATCACCATGTGACTTTTCAAGAGTTATACAAAATTATGTGAATATGTAGGACAGTATTTCTGGTTTCTGACACAATAAATTATAGCTCTGAGTTTAAAAGTACACACATTATGTATTATATATAATATGTAACATATTAGATATAAATATAAATATATATATATACTTTTATTTATTTGCACCATCACTCATCCTTGCTGGGGAAGCACCAGCAATGAGTTAAAATGAGTTAGTTCTGTGATTTTTATTGTTGTACCATTCTCCACACAGCTAATGTAATACCCTACTAAAATAAGCTGTCTTCATCCATTAGAAAATTTCTAATAAAAAAAAAATTCTAAATTAGAAATAGGCTCATACACAAAGCAGATATCTTTGCAGTGTCTAATATCCACCATTTTCAAGTAAAACAAAATTTTATTGGAATTTCATTTGTTGATGTTCATGAATAAGTGGATGAAGAAAATGTGCATATGAAACCTAAAAATCAATCAAAAGCAAAAGTAAAAAAACACAAACACCTGTAACATTATTCCCAATGAACATATTTCATGACATAAAAATCTTGAAGTCATAGCTTTTCTATTATTCAG